CTCCCATATTGGTTTCCAAATGGGAGTGTGATTTTAACGTGGGACATCATGTGTGAAACTCGTGGTAATTACACGGCTAATGTCACAATCTCCAATTACATGAAATATCACGACATTGAAAGGCCATGGCAATTAACGTGGTCATGGACCAAAGACGAAATCCTATTGAACACTGTTGGTGCTAAAGGTACACAAGTAACTCTACCGGAGGAGGGTCCGGTAAGTAAGTACATATGGTCGCCATTGAATAGAGTGACTGTAACTGAGCGAATAGAACCAAACTGTTCTAAGGGTAGTGTGATTGACTCGTGGTACAAAGATGAAGCCGACTTAGCGAAAAGCTCAACATCGTTCCAAATTAGTGTTGGCCGAGCTGGTTTAAAATTTATTTGGCCGCCAAGTTATGTCGATTTGACCACACCAAGATCGGAATACTTATGTCATTCATTGATGCCAACAACTACAAATTGGGGTTATACAAGTAAGTTTCTTGATTTGTTGGCATATTCTTATGTTTTTAACCTCTGTCTTATAGAAGCTTTTACAATAACTCATGTTTCTTTGGTTTTGTAGATACGTGGAAAGGGCAGTGCGGTCTATTACGATCAGAAAAATTTTCCATAAGATTCATGAAGGTTTTTTTGGCTGTTAGTTTTGGTGTTTTCAACTTTTTGATTTAGGTCTTAATTATGATCTTAAGATCTGTTTGGATTTAAGGTCTTAGCCACAAAATATTTTTCTCTTTAAGAAAACGAAGAATGTTTTTGGGAATGGAACCAATGATAATTAATGGATAGCACACCTAATTTCTTTTAATATAAAACCTGGTTGATCAGTTGGATAGGGTTATGCATGTGTTCGGTCTTTTTAATATAAATTCTGTATAGGAAAGTGGTTTTCAAAGAAAACCATAAGTCAACAAGCTACATGTTGTTTACTGTCTCACGCACTACAATTTTGTTGGGTTTTTTTTTAACTGAGAGCACACTGCACACACACAAAGGTGATTATGGAGTCTTCGTTCTATACAACAACGACACCGTTTACACGACTTCACTAAACTTTTGGTTTGGTTCGGTTCAATTCGAATTCGATTTTGAAATTTTGGAATATACGTACTATAGGTACTAAATATTTTGGGTGTAACAAAATAACTTCTTCGAATAACCGCTTCGGATGT